ATGGGCACTTTCTTTGCCAGGGCTCCAGGCTGGGACATCCTGGCTCCACCGGGACCTTGTCTTCCTGACCACCGTGGTGGCAATGCTTCTCCTCTGCACCARTGCTGGCCCAGCTGTACCCGCTGCCAGCTCCCCAAGTGGTGAGTAGCGGGTGAGTGGGGGTCACTGACTCCTACCAAGCCACCTTCACCCCCTTGGTGGGTCCGTGYTGAAACCAACAGGTTTCTGCCAAAACACCACAGCTTGGAAGGATTGCTGTGCCATGTTTGTGAGGTTCAGTTCTAGGAGGGATCCTCCCAGCTATCTGGCKTTTTGTTTAGCTCTTGTTGGATTAGGAGCATTCCCTTCCTCTCTGCAAGGAGGGATTGCAGTACCTGCAAGACTCCRGAGTTTCATGGGTTGAATTGGAATTCCCACAACAAAATGTCTCCCATCAGACACAAAGCAAGAAAAACAAATTAGATGGCAAATTAGTTTGGCCAGTAAGTCATTAGAGGTCAGATAGAGGGAAGAGGTCAGATAGAGGGAAGAGATCCTATGAAACCAAGGTGGAACTAAACCTTCTTATTCAATGCATGTGCCCCAGGGAAAACATAAATTTTTGTTACATAGATATGGAGCATTTTAGATACTTCTGGTCTTTGCAAGAGCTGCAGCTCAATATATCAATGGTGTATGGTCCAGATATACGTGGAGGACATCACTGGCATCTTGGAGATTCCCCGCCCCCCTTCTTTCCTCGGCAAGATGCATTAGAAGTCTCCAAATGAAACAGCAAATCATGAGAAATAGGTTCCAGAGCTCTTACAGAGGCCACTGGCTCAGAGACCTTCAGGTTCCCTTAAGGCTGAGCCAGTGAAAAAGCCACAGGCATAACTACCCTTTTTTGTCCTGAGTCTTCACTGTTCTTCAGAAGCTCCTTGCTGTTCTGATAGACTCACAGACCTTCTCTGTCCCCCCACCCCGTGTTTCCTGCAACAGCCCCGAGGTTCCCCCCAGACTGCAGCCACCTGCGCAAGAACAGCCCCAGCGGTGTGTATGTCATCCAGCCGGCCAGGTCCCCSCCGCGCGTGGTCTGGTGTGACATGGACACCGAAGGCAAGGGCTGGACTGTCGTCCAGAGAAACTCCCATGACACTGAACTCAACTGGAAGCAATCCTGGACCACGTACAAGTACGGCTTTGGGAACGTGCACAGCGATTACTGGCTGGGCACCGAGTACCTGCACCTGCTGACACAGCAGAGCACCTACAAGGTGCGCTTTGTCGTGCGGGACAAAACCAACGTCACCCACTACGCTGAGTACGACATCTTCAGAGTGGAGAGCGAGGCCAGYGGGTACCCGCTGAGGCTGGGCCGGCATTCTGGTGATGGGGATGACTACCTGACCCTCTACCATCCCAAGAAGGGGGGCATTCATGACAACATGAAGTTCAGCACAGTTGACAAGGACCAGGACCAGTACAGCGGGAACTGTGCCAAGAGCTATGGGGGCTGGTGGTACCACAGGTGCCAGAACATCCTGCTCAATGCCAAAAACTACATCGTTTGGCCAGGATTCTGTGATAATGGTGACTGCGCGGCCTCYCTCATCCTGGTCAAACCCACAGATGTGTGTTGATCGTGCCCAGCCCCCCGGGAGTGAGGGGCTGCCACCATCCCCAGCTCAGTGCCCAATTGCCATGCCAGTCCTAGTGCACATCCTTCTCTGCYCGCAGCTCCTGTTCCCTCATCAGCCAAAACACAGCAGCTCTGGGGCTCAGGAGCCATTGCCCRGAGTGCTGGGCATATGGGCAGCTCGGCCCAGTGCCACAATGCTGGCCAACACTGCACAGGCACTGGTTTGGGGTGGGTCAGCCTGCTCCCATCCTGGGGAGGGGGACATGGTGCCAGTTCCCTTCCCCTGCAGTTGGTGAACCCCGCTTTGCTCAGGCCCTGCTCCCTCCCTGGGCCCTGCACATCCCACAGCTCTGCTACCCATGGTGGGAGAAATCAGCTGCAATAAACCCTGGAGCCAGACTGCGTTGCCTCGTGTCTACCTGCAGAGAGGTGTGGGGGGATCACTCTGTCCATTCTTCAGGGTGGCAGACTTGGGGAAAAGTAAGTGTGTTAGGCAATATTCCTCCTAGTGACTTACAGCAGCCACTGCACGTTGGGCTGTGGCTGTTAGGCTACAACTAGCCAGCAGGGCCAGCAAAGCCCTGATCATGCTAAACCCTCACTCATAGTTTGCCCCCTGTCCATGGGTGGGTGGTTGTTCTGTACTGGGGAAGGGAAGAAACCACCACAGCCTGGAGTGTGGGAGGGCAGTGGGCTCCCTGAGGGTGTGAGTGATGTGGGTAAATCAGTCCCATCATTCCCTGCTGCAGACAGGGAATGTGTCTATGGAATTCCCTTGTGATGCAGGTAAGTTTGAACCTGGGGCTTGAAAAAACCCACAGGTCTTCTCCTCAGTCTTTGGAAGGAAAGCTGAGCTCAAGGTTTGTGACCAGGAATGCTGAACAACGTGGAGTTGGAGTTGACTCTGGAGCCAAGGTCTGTGACCCAGGTCCCAGGGCACCCTGCAAAGCTGTGGCAGTATATTCTTGCTGAGCACTGTGGAGTTCTCAAGGAGAATTCCTTGGCAGTCCTGGAGGCACCTGCAGGTGGACAGCACTGCTGCATGGGGAGATGRAGGTATGAGGGTGCTGCTGGTTGAGAGAGGCTTCCCAGCTGGGGCTGGTTTAAGAGTAACACTTCCAGACTAAGATAYATGCCTGCTGGTTTAAAAAGGCATTGGTGCTCCAGCCTGGATGTACAACCTAAGAGGAGGGGAGAGGCTGGACAAAGTCTTGGGGCTCCTGGCAAACAGCATTCCACCCAGCAGCCAGCCCAGAGTAATGCTGAGCTGCATTCCTGGGTGTCTGATGGAAAGAGAATAGTTGCACTGATGAGCTTTGTGAGTCCCTTCTAACTCTGAATATTCTGTGAATCCATGAGTGCAGCCAGTGAGACATCTCCTGCTCTGTTCAGCACTGGTAAACCAACATCCTCCCTCTGCTCAGCTTTGGGAGACCACATCACAGATACCGTGTCCACTGCTGAGCTGTCCAGTGCACAAAGACATCACCACACTGCAGCAAGTCCATACAGACCCAAGCTGAATCTTGAAATTCTGGGATCCCTCCCTCAGGCTGTCTCAGCTCTCACACTGGCCCAGACAGACCAACCACATGGTGCTGTGTGGCCTTGCAGTGCTGTTGTCCCTTTCTTGTCCACTGTCCCAGTTTCCTCCCAGCGTTTAACAAGACAGGATGATACTGGCCTGGCTTTGCAGCTCATGGCTGGCAGGGTTGAACTGACCTGATGTCAGAGGGTCCCTTGCACCCTCTGCTTGCTGTTGGCTGTGTGATGCTACATTCCCTTTTTGAAAGATCCCCACCTTGGAATGCAACYCTCTTCTTTAAGGCAAATTTTTGTCTTTAATTCCTCACTTGAGTTGTATGAAAAAAWTTTCCTTAGAAAACATTTTCTTACTGCACAAGAAGCCTCAGGTGTGCTTCTGKCAGGAAACGGGCAGCAGTTGCAAGGAGTTCCCAAATAAATGAAGGACACCTRTGCAGGTCTGAAAGTGATTTTATTCTGCAGGATGAACACAAACTGCAGCAGTGATATTTTGTGGACGTGGCCTGCCCTGCGCTCAGTACAGCTTAGCTCAGGGTAGCTGATGATGAAGGATAGTACTCACAAAGCAGAAGGAGAATGAGACCGTGTTGACCAGCAGAGTTTTAAGTTTCTAAGCACAGAGTTCTCCCCAGAAGGAACATCATYGGATACTGCAGCATTTATAAAGATRTGTTCTAAAAATATTCCCCCCCAAAACCCACCACAGGTGAATGGCCAGAGGCAGAGCCAGGAGCTTTGCTGCTTTTCAGGAGGAAAACACAGCAGTTCTTGCTATGGATGAATAACCCTTTTTACTCCCAGGCCCCCATCATCAAACTGGCCCCAGCAGGGCACTGACCACGTGCCTAGTGAGGACAGAAGGGGGAAGGAGTTCTAGTGGTATGGAGCTGGTTTGATGAGGATGGCTGAGGCTCTGCAGTTCCCCCGGCACAGRTTGCCCCATGTCAGGCCCCCCTTGGCGTTCAGACGCACAGAGTAACACGCTGAGTACCACCACCCACCTCCATAGCGGGAGGCACAGTTCCCTCTGTAAGTGTCCTGATCCCGATCCTTCGTGGAGAACTTCATGTTGTTGTGCACTTTCCTGGGATTGTCAGAATCCATGGCATCCTCWGCTGTTCCTGAATGCGCTCCCAGCCTCAGCCGGTAGCCCTGGGACTCATTGTCCAGGCTGAACAGGTTGTAGTCTGCRAACTTCATGTTGTTTGCAGCATCCCAGATGACAAACCTGACCTGGTAGACCTTCTGCCTGGTGATCTGGTGGATGTACTCAGTGCCCAGCCAGAACTCGGYGTGCATGTTCCCAAAGCCGTGCTTGTAGGTGCTCCAGGACTCAGCCCAGGTGATGTCCGTGTCCTGCCGGTTCCTCTGGATGACGGTCCAGCCCCCGTCTGCCCCACTCATCTCGCAGTACACYTTGATGGGGTGCAGTCCCATGGGCTGGATGATGTAGACACCACTGGGGCTGCCAGCAGGGACCTCACTGCAGTCCCTGGGCCAAGCTGGGGCAGGACAGAGGGGAATAGAACAAAAGCCTGGGCATCAGGACAAGACCCTGGGGCAGAAGAGTTAAGTTCATCTGTCCAGAGCACTTGGCTGATAATCAATTCTCCAAGCCCAGAGAGGTCTGGAGGTGAGAGTGGGTTGGCCTCAACACTTTCTTCCTTTTCCATATGGAAAAACAACAGGAGTCAGCCCCAGTGAAAGGCCCCAGACTCACTGATCTATGCTGATACCAGTTCAAGAGACTGAATATGGGCACCAGGGGGCTTCTTTGGGTCTCCTGAAAAAGGGCTTGTGTTACACAACAGGGTCATGCTGGGAGGAAGGTGAAGAGGACCTAGCCCTTGCCTGTGACTAAGGGAATGGACAAAAATGACTCCTTCAAGCACAAAGCCACCCTCCCCAGCCTGCACCCACACACAAAAACACACACACAGAGCACTGCAACCTGCTCTAGGCACACCTCCACCATCCCCCATCCTGGAGCAGTGCTAGGGTAGGGACAGGGCAGGGTCCTTCCCTACTCAGAGCTGGCTGTACACAGGTATACGACACCGGATGCCAGTGGGATGCTACCTACTGCTTCTCTCCAGAGCACTCGATGGATTCTTGGAGGGAGATTTCTTGAAGGTGTTAAGGGTTTGTATATGCACAGAGTGGCCCGGTGCAGCCAAGATGAGCAGGGAAGCAAGGAGCAGAAGGCACTGAGCTGGTAAAATGGGACAARAAGAAGAGAAGAAATGTGACCATCCCTCCCATGATGCCAGCACCGCAGTTAACATGAGCCTGTGAGGTGCAGGAGGGCACTGTGCATGCTGGGCAGTACCAGGCTGCTCCCTGCAAGCTGCAAAGCTTGTCAAAGGGGCAGGAAACTTGGCCTTTTCCCCTTGATCTGCTGCTGACAAGTCAAGCATGCAGTAGTTATGGGCAGAGCAAAGCACCCAACAACTGCCTGAGCCAAGTTTCACTGCTGGGGTGAGCCAGAAGACAGGGGTTGAGCTGCTGGTGCTCAAAAAGGTGGCAAGTGCCCCCAAAAGGGCACTGGTGCCACTGCTCCCCATCAGTGTGCAAGAACCAGTGCATGGAGCCTCTTCCTCTTGCTGAGCTGCCCTATTTGTGCTCTCCCCATTGCTGKCAAGGAGCCCCCGCTTCCCAGCCCTGTACTCACCCATTGTTCCCTGCAGGGATGCCCTCTGGAGCACAGAACTCTGCAGTGGCTGGCCACACAGAGTAATTTGTAGTGCCCTCTGCTCTGGGCGGGACGAGGGGGTCCGACCCCCCTTTTTTGCTGGAAGAGGAGATCAGGTTGGTTTCCTTTGTGCCTGCAGAAAACACGAGCTGACATGGAAGTGCCTGTGGTTCTGAGTGCACAGCTCCCTGGATTGCAAAGAAAATAATCTCCATGCCAGCAAGAATCCTTGGAATGGTCTCTTCTGTGAGTGCTTGGCAACTTGGATGGAATTTTTCCTGGGAGAAGCATGTTTGGGAACTTTGAAGAGTATTGTTCTGTAAACACTTGAATGCCACAGTCACCAACCAGGTGCAGAGCAAACATGGGTCCGTCTCTGCCTGCCACCACTGCAGCTGGTACTGCCAGGTCAAGGGGCTCTTGTTTTATCTGCTACAGTCCAGCCCAGCCGGGCTCTGGRTGGAGCAGCAGAGCAGCCCCGAGATCCTCAGGGAGGCAAAATGYTGTGGAACAGTGTTTGGAGCAGCTGGTGTGTTCTGGGACACAACACAACAGGCAGAGGGTTGTGGTGGAGGGGTCTGTGTCTCAGGGAAGCAGGAGAAGTCTCAACTCCCCAGTGGGCCACAGTCCTAACCTGAAAGGAGACAACTGAAGGGCCTCATGAATGTTTTTTTAAGGTAGATGAGATTGTTGTGGCCTTTGGGCTTTGGGTTTGGGAGAATGCCCATGCAGGATRAGAGGGAAGCAAGTGTGTGCCCAGGAATGGAGTGAAAGCAGGTGGATGGAGGGCAGCAGTGGGGATCTGAGCATGCACAGAGGGGATCTAAGCATGAATGGAGGAAAAATGGAGGGGATTGAGCATGCACAGAGGAGTGGTGGTGGGTAGAATGGTGGAACCCATAGGAACTGAGTGCCCACAGAAGGGATGGTGGGATCTGAGCATTGATAGAAGTCAGCAARGGAATCTGAGGGCACTGTTGTGAAAAAAGAGGGATGTGAGCTTGCCCAGAGGAGAGAAGTCAGCACCAAAGAGATGCTGAAAGTACCAAAGGAGATGTGAGTACTTGAGGAGGGGAACGGATGAGATCTGGGTGCACTCAGAGGAAAATTGAGGACACATGAGTGTACAAGGGGGAGAATGGAAATGATCTGTTTTTGCAAAACAGAATGGTTCTATGAGAGCACAACAAGGGGAATGAAGAGGATATGAAAGCAGCTGGATAAGAATGGAGTGCATCTGGGAGTGGCTGGAAGTGGAGAGAATGAGTCAGAGGGGATCCAGAGAAGCAGTCAGAGGGAACATAGGGAATTTGGAAGCATGYAAAAGTAGAATAGTTTGATTGTAAGGCACTCAGAAAGGATGGCAGGGACGGGCAGTGCACAAAAGTRGAAGATCTGATACAGTATCTGTCAYGATAAGTCTGACTGTGTTCAGTGGGAGCTCRTGAGATCACAAATTYCCCATAGTGCAATTCACCAACACAGTCTGGCCCAGTTTAATAAGAATTTACACAATCCAGGTTCACAAATAATGTGGTTTAGGGAAAGAACAGGAAAGCAGATTCAGGACTGTTGATGATAAATACATTAACTATGGAGGGTTAATATGCATTGTGACAGAAAGGGTGGTAACAGGGATTTATATATATATACACATATATGAAGTATTGACCCAGCTATGTATATATAACTATTCCCTATATATGTATATATAAACACATATATAAAGTATTGATCCAGTTATATATATATAACTATTCCCAATGCAGGTCTGCTCCAATGCAGTTGGAGGTGTGAAGCTCAAACAAAGGCATCCCTTCAGGGGAGAAGGAGAAACACTGTTCATCTGCTTGATCCAGAGCAAGCAGAGGTGCTTTCCCCTCATCTTTTTGCCCTGAAATCCTSTTTTGAGACCATAATTTTTGGTCAGTTTTGCTCCAGACTTTCTTCCATTGTTGGCCCTTGCTGAAGTGAGGGGCAAGGTCAGCCAAGGGACCCAGTCCTTGTATTTCTCAACAGTCTCATCAATTCTTGGCCAACTTAAGGCAGCTCTACGGCAAGTCTGGCAAGTTGCTACCCTTCTCCCCACCCTTCACCATCACCATCACTGACAACTCTGCAGTTCCAGCTGCAGCTGGAATGTCTGCCCAGGGAAAGGAAATGCTGCCAGTTTTAATGTCTGCAAGCCCCAAACCCCAATATTTCTATCACAAGCATAATCCAGGTTTTCATAACTCTGTATTTCTGTTTTCAGACTATTCCCATTCAAATGCTCAGCACAAGAAAAGCAGTTGCAGAAATGTTGGTCCTCTGGGTGGATCCATATTCTAAAGTCCCCTACAGTGAATCCTGGGATCTGGAATCCTGTGAGGTACCCTGATGTCGATATCTGTGAGAAGTCTGGCGGACACGAAAGCATTGCCAGATGGCCCTGGGAGACAGAAGGAGAAATGGTGAAAGAGGGAAAACAGGGGGGACACCCTATATTGCCATTAGGATGTGGAGGGGGCGGACAGGAACACATGGGGCATTTGGAGGGCTCAAGGGGCACCTGGGGGGTGTCCTTGGAGCAACTGATGGGCCTAAGGGTGAAGCTATGGGATCCTGGGGACAGCTGGGGTAACCGACTGTAACTGGTGCCTCTAAYGTGGCAGTGAGGATTCTAGGGRAWACAGGAGGAARTTGCTGGGTTTCAGAGGCAAWTARGGAATCTGAGRGAGGTAAAGGCAGCCTRGAGTGCTACTGGGTCCAAGGGGGAKATCCTGGAATGGGCCAGAGGACTAAGGGAGCCCCAGAAGGCATGTAGAGTTCTCTGAATTAAGGAGTCCTGGCCAGCTCTTGGACACCTGGGTCCCTTTGCATTTGCAGGGAATCCCAAAGGACTGAGAATCCAGAGTGGGTTGGGAGTCCCATGCTGGTCTGTGAGCAGACCAGAAGCATGGAGAAGCATGAAGAGCCCCAGAAGCATGGAGACTCTTAGAGTACAGTTTATCGGGTCAGGAGTACTCACACCAGCAGCAGAACGAATGCCATGGAGCCGAAGGCCAGAGCCAGTCCCGTGGTTGGTACTTGGGGCAGGGGGGGCTCGTTGTCAAGCCAGTGCAGCACAGTGCTAAASACAGTCTGGAGTCCTTTCTCTTCCTCCACGCTTCCCTCTGACACTGTGGGGACCCAGGTTCCTCAGGTCATGGGGCCTTGCACCCAGGGACCAGCTGTCCCAGCAGCTCTTTCTTCAGCCACAGACCTTGCTGTCCCCAGCAAAACAGGAATCTGGGGGTCCCTGCTCCACCCCACATGCTCCCAGAGGAGTCAGGCACCAGGGAACAYATTCTCTAATCCCTGGGTCATGAAGCCAGGTGTCCTGGCACCCTGCTCACCCCCTTCCCATGGACCCAGGTGTCCCACTCTGTCCCACACTGCTCCCTGTCCCCAGGGCACTCAGGTTTCCAGGTTCACCGTTGAGGTAGAAGAACTTGCGGATAACGGGCTTGGAAAGTTCCCCCAGCTGACAGACAACGGTTCCTGGAGCGGGTTCCTCGATGGTCAGGCTGAAGGGCTTCTCTGGATTCCCCTTCAGCTCCTTGAACAGCGTCATGTCCTGTGTGCGCAGCTGCGGYGTGGGGGACACGTCAGCACTGCCCGGGCCACCAGGCACACGGAACAACACACGTGTGTACAAGGGCACCTGTGTCCTGCACATGCTTGACATGTCCTCTTCATGCTTCTTGTACCCAGTGCTGGTGCAGGTGGGCACACCTCCCACCCCACATGTGTGCACACCCAGGGATGCACAACCAGGGTGTACACAAAAGTCACTTCCTGCACTCACATTCCCTGTGCATGTGGTGAGGCGCCGTGTAGCAGAGCATCCCACCCCCCACAAGAGCTTATCTCTTGTTTGTTAGCCAGTCAGATAACTGAAACAGTACAATCTCTCTTGCAATGAGTTATTTTTGCACACAGGGTTAGCATTGGTCTGGCATCTCTCAACTGCCAATAAACATCTTACTGTCAAAGTCAGATGTGGAAAATAAACTGGATTTCTGACTGACAGCAAGTCACTTTACAACTATAAAAGTCACAACAAACTTCTGCAAAGTAGAAACCTTCTATACATTTTCCTGGAAATGTATGGTGTTTCTCCCATGAATAGGGACACCTATTTCCCAGCTAATGCCCCCAGGGGTTGAGTGAAGGAATCTGTGTACATTATCGTTGTTTTGGTGGTAAGCTACATTTGGCTCCTATTCAATACTATTTCTTTCGCTAGCTTTAATAAAGATACCTTGATATAGTGCACTGTTCTGTTATGCTGTAATCTACTAGTAATTCTTTTAATTTTATACTGTATAGTAAGTAATTCTGATTAAGAACTTTCATATGTTACATTTTGCCTGTTCATTTGTTTCTAAAATAATTCATTTTCATAAATATATCTGCCATCATTAGGATGTATAGGCTAAAATGATTCCTAAAATTTGGAAATTGTTGCCAGATTCTGAGGCTAAGGAAGAATTTACCTTCATCAGAACCTATCTCTCTGAAAGAGTTTAAATACACAAAGGAATCCTTTCTGACCCTCAGACTCAGCAGCAGAGCTTCTTTAACAAACTCCATCTGAAGCCTCCACTCTCCCCACAACACCCTGGCACAGGCTGCCCAGGGAAGATGTGACTGCCTCATCCCTGGAAGTGTCCAAGGCCAAATCCCAAGTCTTGGTCAGGGCTTGGAGAAGCTTGGTCTAGTGGAAGGTGYTCCTGTACACACCTTCCAGGGGATTAGAATAACATGAGCTTTAAGGTCCTTTTCAACCCAAACTGTGCTGTGATTTTATGATTCTACATGTGCACACATGGATCTGTGAACACACAAGTGATCTGCCTGCTACTCGTGTGCAYCCTTGACATGAGTGAGCATCCTGTGTGTGCTTACACAGCTGCTACTCCCAGCACAGACAGCTGCTGAGGCACTCCATGTACAYGAGACAGTCCTCCTTGGAAGGTCTACTCACACCCTTGCAAGGCCATGTGCAACTCACATTTGGGGCAAACATCCAGGTGATGGGCAGGCCGGTGGGGACAGAGAAGGGCACCTTGCAACGCAGCACRACAGTTTCATCTGTGTAGGTCCACAGGTCCTGCACTGAGAACATTGACAGAATCATGAGCTCACATCTGCACATGCACTGACAGAGGTGATGGTGCTCCTGTGCTGGCTGTGGGGATGGGCAAGTGAACACTTGGGCAGGTGTGCTTAGCATGGGACCACGGGTGAGAAATGTGGGGTGTCCCCAGAGATTTTTGTGGTGAAATCCTGTCTTTTGGATCAGCTTTGCKCACTATAATCTCACTGCAATACTCAACACACCTCCATCTCAAAAGCTACCCACCCCCAATATATGGCCACTCCTTGCTGAGCACACATTCTGCATCTTTCTAGCCTAGACCTTTAAAAGCAGAGTGACACCATTTGACCTCAATCAATACCAAAACTGACTGGAGTCACTCAAGTGCCACCAAAACATAAACARTAGTACAAAAATAACCTAAGAATGGGGGAGAGTTGAGGAAGATTTCCTTACTCTTAACACAACAGTCTCTCATGGCCCCATACCTGGGCAGTCCAGAGCAAACTGACAGTCCACCAAACGGCAAGTAGCACACTGGAAGACGCGGGCAGCTGGCTGAAATCCTGRGAAAGAGAGACTTGGTGGTCCCAGGGGAGTGGAAGAAATACTAGGAGGTAGGGCAGGGCAAGACAGAGGAATGGGCACTCACCACAGGGTGGGACACAGGCTGGAACTGGTGCGGAGGAAGCAGTGTTAGGTTGGGCATCACTGTGGACCCACATCTTTGTAATGAGCTGTCAGGATTCAGCCCCTGTCCAGCCCAGATGGRGTCCCTGGGAGTTTCTCTAGGACTAAGGGGGTCCTAGGGTGGCCCATACCTTTCCCTAGCCGGCTCAGCTTTGCCCAGATTTTGTTGACAGCTTCCTGCAGAGACTTGTTCAAGGGCTCTTCGGTGTCCCAAATGTCCAGGTAAGACAATGTGTCCTCCCCCTGGTCCYCATAAACCTCCCCTGGACCCCACAGATCCCTTGTACAACTCACTTTGACTCCATAAATCTCTTCTGGAGTCAKATATATTCCCAAATATTCCCTCAAATTCACAAGAAGCTGTATACCTTGAAACCCATATACCCTCAGGATTCCCCAAATGTCTCTTTACAGCTCCCAGTCCTCCATATATCCTATATTTCACCTCCACCCCATACCCTTCAAGGCCTCCACATCCCAGCCCCCTTGCCCAACGTCTCACATCCCATGTGCCATGTGCCTTGTCCCTCCCTCTGCTCACTCTTGTCCTTTTGGTCTTCTATAAAATACATAGCATCCATGACAATGTCCCGAAGTTCCTCACGCTGTCCTGACCCTGGAACCAGTAGAGGGACATGGGAATCAGTACAGGGTTTGGGTTGGAGTTGCAGGGAGGGGAAGGTTCCGTACGGTCTCGGGGTTTCTGGGGGKTTCTGGGGGTTCCTGGAGTCCTGATAAGGGTTTAGGGATACTGGGAAAGGTCAGATATCCCTGTGGATTCCTACGGCCCTAGGTAGGGCCAAGGGGTTCCCAGTGTGTCCTWGGTCAGGGTTGGGTGATTCTCAGGTTTCCAGGCAGGTTTGAGATTCCTAAAGGTCCCCAGGGGCTAAGTCAGAACTGAGAAGACCTTGGCATGGTTGTGAGTCCCAAGGATGATTGTCTGGGGTGGGTCCCCAGGGTCTCCAGCTTCCTGGGATCCTGCTCAGTGTCAGTGGGAGGGCCTTGGTTGAAATAGGAAACCACAGAGGGCTCTGGAGTGCTATTCAGGGTGGGGATCCCCTTTAGGATGGATGTCCCAGGTGGAAAGGAGGGAGCAGTCAGGACAGAAGTCCTTGGGCAGGATCCTTGTTGAGTTTGGTGTCCCTAGGGTCCCACAACATACCTACAGTGATGGAGGCAAGTGGTTTAGCAGCCTCGACAATGGCCTCATGGCATTTTTGATGTTCGGGGTCGTTGACAGAGGCACCAGTAATGTCACGGCAAAGYCGCGCCCGCTGAAGGGGGGGCCCAAAGCAGAGCAGGCAGGGGTGCACCTCAGGGAGGTAGGACATCAGGACCCACAGCCACAAGCCAGGSTTTCTAGGCTGCCAGGGGACTAACATCAGCATCAGGGCCACTGAGAACCACCCCATGACCCCAAACATAGCACACAAAYGCCCGAGTTCCTTGGACAAAGGCAGGGTTCCAAGGCGGAGCCCTGGCCCCTCAGTCACCAGGGAACCAGATACAGKGGGAGGCCCCACTCCAGCCAGCCACACTGAGCTCACAACAGCCAAAAGTGTGGGCAGAACTCATCAAGGAACATGCAAGCTCCACATTTCAGCAGGAAGAACTGAGCCAGCCCAGGGCTACAGCTGCATCRCTGCCAAACATGGCTGGGACTGTCYRGGATATGGWGTTTGTATGTGTGTCCTGAGGAGACTCTTCTGTGTCTCTTCTACATTGCATTCTGGAGTACAGGAGTACACACCTGGTGCATTTTCAAGGTATTAGATCATTCAGCTCTCCAAAACAGAGACGGAGAGAAAGGGAGAAACTACAAAATATTACCATTGACTGCAAAGCAAAAGATGCAGAAAGAGGAYGTTGGTTTTACAGGGACAAGATCTGATTCAGGAAGCAACACATGAAAGTGTTTGAGGTGTGAAAACCAAGCATGAGGCTGAAGATGTGTGTGCAACCCCAACCACTACGAGGCAAAGGATGCTATAAGAGTTGACCTGGCATGTGCCAAAACATTTAATAAATGSAAATTGTGATTTCMACCCAGATTGCAAATGTTCCCTTTCACCCCTCTCCTGTTACTGAGCTTTGAGATAGTGACCCATCACTGGCAGCTGCGGTCACTATGCAGCT